ACGACTTCGCAAAGAGGTCAAAGCCGTGTTGGACAATCACATGATGTGCGCGGCGGAGTACGCGCTAACGCGTCAAGCCTACCGGCCTCCACCAGGAACCGGAGAAGATAAACAATTTAAACAAATGGTCGAGGAGAGCACGTTGAGATTTGCAGAACTACTCGCTCAAGGGAAAAAGGCTGGCCCATACATGGGCGCTCTGGAGCACGAGTTGATCGTGCTCAAATGTATGCACTGGCAGCTCAAGCAATTTGCGATCCAGCGCACAGAGGCCAAGTTCGGCATGATGCGCGCAGAAGAACGTATTGTTGCATTGGAAAAGAAGATGGAGGTATTTCCGGATGAAATACTACATCCAAGCACGCTGCACGACTACTCCAACGACTACTGAGAGAAGCATCCGAGGACAAGACCGACCAGGTCTGGACCTAAACTGTGTTTTTGGTGATTTCGTGGGCCGTTTTCGTTTCGACTTCGTTTTGCGGTAGAGGCGGAGTCGAGACAAAAGTGAGGGACATGAAAACACAACGAAAACGAACAACACCTTGTAGGTTCAGCCCTGATATCGACCTCGGCACAGCAACGCAAGAGGAATATGCAGGCTACGATCGAAGTTTCGAGTTGGCCAGGTCCAATTCGCAGAATGGAGGAGAAACGCAGCGGATTGCACCGCGCGGGCATCCCCACCACCGCCTCCTCCACCGCCACCTCCAACACAATTGCCGCCTACCCCAGCGGTCGACAGCAAGTACTCGAGGTGATTGGCGTCTTTTTTGAACACGGACGCGAACGTTACAGGGGAAGGAATTCTACAACAGTTTGGAGGGCAGAGCATCGAGGCGGTGCTAGGCAGTCGGGACTTCATGCCAATGAAATGGGAGTAGCTCTTCAAGATGTGCACCGGGGAAAGTTGACGGAGGATCGCATTCTACAAGTATTTTCTGCCGAGGAGTTCATCTTCAGCTGGGGGGGGTCCGTTCACTCAACCGCCCGCGCCGTCGGCATCGGCAAAAGGGAACGCCAGTGGCCGCCATGGAGGCCCCGATTGGCCAACCCGAGAAAAGCGATCTGCGATCGAAGTCGCGTCCGACGCGCCATTGCGAACTGGCGCGCCGCGCGCGCCCCCCCCCCCCCCCCCCCCTCCCGCGCCCCAGAGGTGGACCCTGCACGTGGACAACGCCCTGGTCGAACGCCCCACCCCAGATTGTCACCGTGGGCAGGTCGGGCACCGCAGATGTGGCCGGGCATTAGAAATCCCGCCCCGTGGCCAGGCGGCAGACTGGAGAAATTGCGATTGTGCTCGGAAAGGTCTCGAGCGACGTGCGACCCGACGCGCGACCGCGCGGCGCGCCGTCGAGCCCGCGCGGGGGCCTGGCCCGCCCGACGGAACAGCGGCGCGCGACGGGCGGTCATGCAGCCGCCCGTCGCCCCGCGCTGCGACGACGGCGGGGCGCCTCCCCCAGCGTCGATCGACTTCTGACTTGCAAGGGCAAGCTACCGCCGCCCTTCTAGGCGGCTTCCGACGGCGCCCGCGGGGCCGGGAACGCGGTAAGACGGCGACCACCAAGAGGGCCAAGGAGGCTTTCTAGAGGCCTCCAAGGGGCCCCCAAGAAACTCCCAGGAGGTCCCATGAATGCAAGAATGACACAAACAGTTTCCAGTCTCTTCATCCTTCTCCTCGCCGTTGCTCCTCCTTCTCCACGCCCTCCTTTTCCTCCCCCACCTGTTCCCCGAAGGGCTTCGTGGCCCACTAGCGCTGCTAAGCTTGGCCCAAACATTTGCGGGCCACATGGGCGGATCCTATTAGGCAGGGGCGGCGGCGATTCGCCGTGAGCACGTTCCCCTTCTAAAGAATTTCCAGGGGGGGCGTCGGCCCAGCTCGCCGGCCACGCGGGGAACCGCCATATCTTTGGTCGTCGGTCCGTGGATGGCTTCGAAGTCGGCCAAGATGACCTAGGATGGCCTCGAAGATGGTCCCGAGGCGCTTCTGAGACGGCCGAGATGACCCCGACAGACCACGCAATGGCGCCAACATCCAGATCGGCATTCCACCAAACACCAGGAGGCCGGCATAACGGCCCAAGAGGCCTCCAGGGGGATCCGTTGCTGTGCTTCGGGGTTCCGACGGCCCAAGACGGCCCGACAGCTTCCCAGCGCGGCCCCCGAAAGGTCCCAAAACGGCCCAGAAGGCTTCCTAGACGCCTAAGATGGCCTTCCACAGAACCTGGAAACGCCCCAAGAGTGCCCCACGACAGCCCAAAGATGCCCCGCAAGGCGGCTCCCGACGGCGTCAGACGGGCCTGGGGGGATGCAGAACGGCCGAAGAGTGCCCCAAGAAGCCCCCGAAGGCCCCAAGACGCCAGAGGAGGCCCCAAAGAGACCTCCAACGAGGCCCCTGGGCCCCCGGGAGTTTCCCAGGAGTCTGCAAGAATTGCCCAAGAAGCTTCCAAGAGGTGCCCTCGCACTTCTCCACCCTCATTTTTCCCCTTCCACATCCTCTTGTTTTTTTTCCCCGGCGCGTTCCCGGAAGGGCTTCCACGGCGGCCGGGGGGGGGCGCGGCGGCGTCGTCGAGCCGCCGCCCAGTTTGGTTTGCCGCGCCGCGCGCCGCGCGCCGAACGCGCGCCAGGTTCGGGGTTCTTTTCAAAAGAACTCAATGTTAGGTCGGGCGCGCCCCCCCGCAGGCGGATTTTGGAAGAGAGATGGGGCGCTGAGAAACTACTCAATGATAGTCAGGAATAATCGAATAATCGCCCCCTGATGTTGTTTCCCCTACTTGAATACTCCTCGCGTAGAGGGGCGCGCCCGACTGAGCCCCAACGGGGTGGGGCAGCCCGTTGGCCACTCGAACAATCTCTAGATCATCGGTCTTCGGCTCCTGGATGGCCTCGGCGGTTCCAGAGCGCTTCAAAGACGGCCGAGATGACGGCCAGACTTCGGCCCGCCATTTTGCCGCTCGAGCGCTTCCACCATGCAGGGGGCGGCAGTGATTCGCCGCGGGCGTTTCCGATCCGCCGCCATTTGTTGCGCGCCGCAAGGGTGCGTGGCGCGCTGGATGCTCGGCTGCTTCCACCCTTGCAACAGCGCCCAAATGCGGCCTCGGCCGGCCCCGCCGGCCACGCGGGCGAGGTGGGAAACAGGGATTGTTCGCTCGAGATCGTCATAATATGCCTCCAGGATGGCACGAGATAGCCTGCGAGATGGCCCCAAGACGCCTCGACGACAGCCACGGTGGCCTAAGCGTTCCAAGATGGCCTCCGAGTCGGCCCACGACGACCCAAGACGGCCCAAGATGCCCTCCAACGGCCCACGAGGCCCCCGATGCGCCCCAAGAGGGCCTCCAAAGGCCGAAATCAGGGATTCAAAATTTTACATTTCCCGCGTTTTCGGGCTTGCAAGGCTCCAAGGCGGCTTCGCGGGCCCCCAAGATCGCCCCGAGACGGCCCGATAGGCCCGCAAGACAGCGCAAGGCGGCCCCAAAGACGGCCCCAAGACAGCCCACGACTACCGAGAGAGGCCCCCATGACAACTTCCGAAGACCAAGATGTCCTTCAGAGGCCCGAAGAAGACCCCCAAACACCAACAGGCACAGGATGCCCCCAAGAGGCCCCAGAGAAGCTCCCAGGGGCCCTTCAGGAAGCAGCAAGATGGGTTCAGTAAGCTTCCTTTTCCTCCTCCTCCTCCTCCCCCTCCTTTTCCTTTTCCTCGCCCCCCCCCCTTCCTTCGCCTGTAGAACGCAATGCGTGCCGCCGGATTTCTAGACGCAGCCGTTGGCCCTCATTCCTCCAGGGCAACCAAGAACATGACGAAGATGATGGATTTGAAGTAGTCAGGGGGCCTGTCTGGTCGAACCAGGAAGCGCCCGAGTCGCGTGCAATGCCGGGAAACAGACTGATCAGC